CTTAGCCTTGTTGAACCTCATACAGTTGGCCCCAGCCCAGTGATCCAGCCTGTCCAGGTCCCTCTGCAGGGCCTTCCTACCCTTCAGCAGATCGACATTTCCACCCAGCTTGGTGTCGTCTGCAAACTTCCTGAGGGTGCACTCAATCCCCTCATCCAGATCATCAATGAAGATGTTGAACAGGACCAGCCCCAGTACTGATCCCTGGGGAACACCACTCGTGTCCGGCCGCCAACTGGATTTGACTCCATTCACCACCACTCTCTGGGCTCGGCCGTCCAGCCAGTTTTTAACCCAGTGCAGAGTACACCCATCCAAGCCGTGAGCAGTCAGCTTCTCCAGGAGAATGCTGTGGGAGACTGTGTCAAAGGCCTTACTAAAGTCCAAGTAGACAACATCCACAGCCTTCCCCTCATCCACTAAGCGGGTCACTAAGCAAGTTGCAGGGACCCCAGTTCTTTGGAGTGGGGGAAAGGCAGAGTCCAGCCTTCACCCCAAGCACATCCCTGCGGGGCCGAGGCTGGAGACCACAGGGAACGCACTGGCAAAGCTCACCCAGCTCCATAGGGATGGACAGGCTGGTGCTCCCGACCCTGCAATGAAGGGGAGGTAGCTGAGGGGACCTGGGGTCTCCCATGGGGCATCCCAGCACACTCCCACTGAGGCTTGGTGGGAGAGACAGTGCTGCACACCCTGTGCCGGGTGTCCCATGGGAGAGAGCGGCTTCACCACGCTTGGTGCCAGGAGCACTGAGCAAAAACCGTTCAGCCCTGCAAGAGGGCACTGCCTATCCTGTACTTGCACCCCACCACGATGCCCCCCGGGCTGTGCCAGCCTCCTGGGCAGAGGGACGGGCTTCTGCCCTGCTGGGGCTGGGAGGGGAAGCAGGGAGGGGGATTCCCAGCTCCCAGCAGGCAGCCTGTGGGCCCTGGGGGATGAGCTGGGCTGGCACAGAGCTCCTGGATCCCCTCCAGCGCTGCTTGGCCGGGCTCCCTCCCTGGCAGTGTGCTCGGCCACTTGGCCTGTCCTTGAGATGAAAAATGCAGTCATGGGTTTAATTAAAACAAGAGGAAGAGCTGAGTTGCCCCAGCAGCCTGGAGAAGCAGAGCCCAGCAGAGATGGTGCATGGCTGCTCTGCCAGCTAAACCCCCTGCCCACC